AAAATAAATAAAAATACAATAAAGCATAGATATACTACATTTCAAAACTAAGTCAATATGCTGACCGCAGGGATCCTTATGTGTGCTTCATCTGCCCCATTTCTGTTTGAGTTTGATGTTTCTCTGAGCAGAAAAGGTAAAACACATTGGTGAGGGTTTATGAGCTATGACTTTGAGTGGATGCAGACCCACCAACTACCTTGAACCCAGTGGACCCATTGTGCTGCTGAGGGCAGGGAGGTGGGGAACAGTGTTCTCAGGTACTACATATCTAAATGTAAGCTCTGGAGCTTAAGAGAGCCAATTGTTCAATTTTCGGTGTGAGCATTTACACCTTGGAGATCAGCAAATGCTACCAATCAACTCTTGATTTTTTTCAAATTTTCCAGACTTAAGAAAGTGATGAAGAAAATGTTACTAATGCAGATTAAGCTTGGATGTGTCAAGCATACGTTTCCCACCACCACTACCCCAATTTGTTAAACATTTACCAATATATTCCTGGTTATTTGCCAAACATTAGATGACTAAATGGTGCAGCAAACTGAATACTAGACTTGTAATGAGAAAGACCTGAGTTCAAATTCTGTCTTAGACTGTTACTAGCTATGAGAATCTGGACAAGTTACTTAGCCTTCTTCTGCCTGTTTCCTCATCTGTAAAATGTAGATAACAATAGTACCTACAACTCACAGGGCTGTTAGCAGACTCTGAACATTTTCATTGGCTGTTCCCCATACCTGGAATATTTTCTCTCCTAATCTTTGCCTATTCCTGACTTCCTTCAAGTACTGAAAATGGGAATAAAGTACCTAAAAGTACCAAAGATGGAATAGAATCCCCTACGTTCTACAAAAAGCCTTTTCTGATTCCCCTTAACTTTAGTGCCTTCCCTCTGATGATTATCTCCAATTTGTTCTATATTTATCTGTGAAGGATGCATATTGGTTTAGTTTTGAAATGTAATATTATCTACATTTTATTGTAGTTTTAATTTATTTTGTTAAATACTTCCCAATTACATTTAATCTGGTTTGCCCTTACTCTGAGAAAACTGAACTTGAAGAGCCAGTATTGGCTTTTGCCTTTCTTTGCATTCCAAGCACTTAGTATGGTGCCTCGCACATAGTACATGTTTATATAAATGCTTATTGACTTTTGACAAATATAAAGCCCTTTGCAAACCTTAAAGCACTACAGGAATACTAGCTGTTATTATTATTAATAATTAACACTGGGTGGGGCAGCTACGTAGCTCAGCGGATAGAGCACCGGTCCCAGGAGTACCTGAGTTCAAATCTGGCCTCAAACACATAATACTTCCTAGCTGTGTGACTCTGGGCAAGTCACTTAACCTCAATGACCTCACTAACAAAAAAAAAATTAGCACTGGGTTAGGCAATGGGGATTCAAAGATAAACAAGAATATAATCCCTACCCACAATGAACTTACAAGCCAATGGTAGGGAAAGGCATGAATGCAAATAAGTAGAATGGAATGCATAAAAGGAAGGCTCCTATGAGGAGAGATCAAGGTAAAAGAAGCCTTCCAGGAGAAGGTAACATCTGAGCAAAGCCTCAAAGGAAGAAAAGAATTTCAATTAGTAGTGGTAGAGAACTATAAAAACTTGGAAGACAGAGAGAAATGAATCTGAGGAACAGCTTGGAGTCTAGTTTGACTGCTGTATTGAGTATATGAAGTGTTAGATTTGTTATTATTGTAGTTCAGTCTCCTCTCTCCACAACCCCATTTTGGGGTTTTCTTGGCAAAGATACTGGAGTGGTTTGTCATTTCCTTCTCCAGATCATTTTACAGATGAGGAAACTGAGGCAGTCAGGGTAAGTGACTTGCCCAGGATCACACAGCTAGCTAGTGTCTGAGGCCAGATTTGAACTCATGAAGATGGGTCATCCTGATTCCAAACCCAGTGCTCTTTCCATGGCATCACCCAGCTGCCCCCAGGGTTAGAATAAGAGCAATTAAATTAATTATTGGAAAACCTGTTTTTAAAAAATGAAGCCATAAAACCAGCCATGTATCAAGACATTTTAATTTTTTCTCTTTGGTTTTAAAGCTGAGATAAATAGATATATAAGCTTATAGGCCTCATACACGTATAACATCACCAATCAATATGTTTTGATTTCCATGGGGCTATACAAAAGACCCAAAAGACACATTCCCTGCACTTAAGGTGCTCATGGTCCAAGACTGAAACACATACTCATATGTCCCCATTAACATAAAGTATTGAGTTGACCTGAAGATAGATAAAATCAATAGCTACCATATACAGGATGAGGAGCATAACAAAAAGTACCAGACTGAGGGTCAACAGATCCAATTCTTCCACTAATATGTGATATGGCCTTGTGTAATTAACTCTATACTTCAGTATCTCCATCTATAGAATGATAGGGTTGGACTTCAGTCTTTTTCAGTCCTGTTTGACTCCTTTTGGATTCAACTCTTTATGACCCCTTTTGGAGATCTTCTTGGCAAAGATACTGGAGTGGTTTCCTGTTTCCTTCTCCAGCTCAGATTTTACAGGTGAGGAAATTGAGGCAAACAGGGTTAAGTGACTTGCCCAGGGTGACACAGCTTGTAAGTGTCTGAGGCCAGATTTGACCTTAGGAAGATGAGTCTTCCTGACTCCAGGTCCAGCGCTCTATCCATTGTGCCTTCTAGATGCCCTTAGGGTTGGACTAGATGATCTCTAATGTTCTAGTTATGAAATTCTATGGTTTTATTAACTATAAAGATGCATAGACGATAGGCAAGAAGTCTACAGTTTTCAGAGTTCATTAATATTTATTTGTTGGCTAAAAGGAAAGGACCAGTACTAGAAATCTATCATTCCTTCCTCTGCACTCTTGGGCAGTTAATCTCCATATGATCATAGTAGGATATTAAGGAAGATGCCTCCAGCCTCAGTATGATGGCCAGTCACATTCTGTCTGCTCCCCCGCCCCAACATTTCATACAATTGAAATCTGCCTAAAACTGGCATCAAGAACAGCCCTAAAGACAAAAACAAGTCACAAATGGTAAGGTGGATTTTAATATATATTTTGGGAAGGGAGAACAGAGAGGGTATTTCCACCCCTTTGTTTCAGTAAAGTTTGTTGGCTGTGTTGTACATGAGACTTGAGGGTTTTTTTTTTGTTTGTTTGTTTGTTTGTTTTTAATATCAGCTCTGTATCTGTATCTGTATGGGGCAGCAAGGTGGCACAGTAGATAGGGTACTGGGTCTAAAGTCAAGAAGACTCACCTTCCTGAGTTCAAATCTGACATCAGACTCTTACTAGCTATGTCACCCTGAGCAAGTCACTTCACCTTGTTTGCCTCAGTTTCCTCATCTGTAAAATGAGCTGGAGAAGGACATGGCAAACCACTCCAGTATCTTTGCCAAGTAAACCCCAAATGGGGTCAAGAAGAGTCAAACATGACTGAAATGACTCAACAATTGGAGAGGTGGAAGAGAGAGTGTATTTCTATCCCTTTGTTTCAGAAAAGGTCCTTTATAGTCTTTATTGTACATGAGATGTGGGTTTGTTGGTTTGTTTTTTTACATCAGTCTGTATCTCTATCACCTCTTACTCCCCAGTGGGCTTCTTCTCTTAGTCACAGCCTGGTTACCAGTCACTGTGTTTGTTCTGCACAGGACCATTCCTAAATGCCAAAACAAAAATCTCAGCCCTCAATCTGATCCCCCACCCCCAAGTTTATAATAATGAGAGGCAATGTGGTACAGTAAATAAGAGAGCTGGCCTTGAAGCCAAGAAGGCCCGGGTTTGATTCCCACTTCTGATGCATCCTGGCTTACCCTCTTAGCGCTCTAGAGGCCACTCTCCAAGACTACAAACTTCAGAGAAGGCACTGACCTACATCGGTAGAGTAAACTCAATATCAGAGGGTTCCCACCGTCCATGAAATCACAGGTGTCGTCCCTGCCCATTTATCCAGCATCTTCTATATATAGGGCTCCACTGGGTTTTCACAACAACCCTCTAAGGTGTTCCAGTGACCATTATCCCCACATTTCAGAGGGGACACCTTAGGCTCAGAAAGGTTAGGTGACTTAGCCAACCTTATGGAGCTAGTACTGGGGCAGAGCAGGGAACTCAAACCCTGTCCTACTGACTCCAATATTAGGGCCCTTTTTACTATACAAAGTTACCTCTAATCAGTGAATGAAATATACAATGGAAATGAAAGTACAGCTATCCCTTCCACATCACAGGGGTTAGGTATGCAGTGCTCCCCCTTCCCTACCCCCCACTCCCTAATCCCTACCCCCCCACACACACATTAACTCTCTCCCCTCCCACCCCAGATATGGAAAATCCTTGTAAAATTTTTTGGCCCTCCCTTTGTACCAGAGAAGAAGTCTGAATTTTTTCTTTTTCTTTTATAGGTTGTTTATAGTACCTTATTGTGAAATTTTGGTCATAGGCTCTGTGTTGCCTGCTGGCCTTCGAGTGTCATCTGCAGCTTCCGCAAAACTCCCCAAAAATTCCCATTTAATTTCTTATGCTGACCCACGATATATTGAAACCACCATGGTGAAAGTCAAAATGTGGAAGGTATATTCCCAAGAACACACACGCACACACACACACACACACACACACACACACACACACACACACACACAATGCGTCATAATGACACACTGGGGAGAATATCTGCCAGGTGGCATTCTAGCTCTCCAGCTCTTAGCGACATCTAAGGCCTCTTAGAAATGCACGGTGGGTATTGAGATGCTCAGAGGGAGGGGTTAGGAGGGTATAAAAAAGAGGAAGGCATTTTGCTTCTTTTATTTAGAAGCAGCCTCGCATGCTCATGTTAAAGGTCACTGTACTGCTGCCGTGGGACTGACGAGGCTCCCAGCGAGAGCCTGCTCCCTGCTCCGTCTCTGCGTGAACCATTGCCGAATCAGTTTCTGCTTCTAGCGGGGTCAGTGAGCACAGACCAGCCACGTGTTTGAATGCCAAAAACATTTAATGATTTAAAAAGATCAAGATCAATGGCTTCAGCATTTTCTGGGAAGCAGTAATTCAGCGAGCTGTGGAAGGCCTCGATTGGAGGATTTATGCTGAATGGGCTTTACAACCTGAATGTATCCTGGGATCGGGGCTGATCAGATCACCCTGCTCAGGAGATGCTCTCTCATTGACATCATTCGCATAGCTGCCAAGTCCTGCTTGCTCCAAGGGAGATTCTTTCATTTCACATTAATTATAAAGCTATTTTCCAAGCATTTCCCTCCCATAATGAAGGGCTTTTTGCAATGTCTCAGCGAAACATTAAAAATCTAACTTGCCATCTTTTTTCTTTAATACATCCTGCCTACTCAATCTGCATCTTTTATTACCCTCAGTACTCTCCAAGGGAAAAAATTTGTTTCGAAACACAGGATCGCTTGCCTAAGGTGAACAGATGGGCTGGTGGGGGGGGGGTAGCAAAGAAAATAGAATGACTCCCCTCTTCTTCTCCCTCCCCTTATTATCATCAATACCGTTCTTCCCTCCTCCAACCCAACATTAAACACCTTGGCCTCTGATGGCTAAGAGTATAGGGCAGAAGAAAAAGGAGTGGTGGGGAGGAAGACATGATGAAAAAGGCATATGAGGGCAAAATTTTGGGACAAGGGAATATAAGAAAAGAATTGCAGTCACCAAATAACAAGAACTCTCTCTTTTTCTCATCACATCTCAAGTATTGCATATTAGTTATATAGATTTCTCCTGTTTCATTCATTTATTTATTCATCACTTATTTCCTCATTTATTCAACAAAAATGTCATTGAAAGATCAGGGAAAACAAGAGAAGTGCCACAGGACAGAAGGGCAAATGTTTTTTCTTTATGTTATGGCCCAGACCCTCCAAGCTCTGGGCTAAAGCAGTGTCCAATCTCAAAGGATGATCTTAAAGAGTAACTTTTTAGACTCCTGTTCCCAGCCAGAGTTAATGCAAGAAAATCTACAAGTATGATCATGTTGTCCAGGTTGTGGATAAAAGGGCTCCCCAGATCCTATACAAGCACTAAAGATAACCAATGCATAACAGGAAAAGGGCAGTCTCTCACGCTCACAGGAAACAAATAAGATACAAATGGTTCACTCAACAGATACACAAAACACTTGAATATTCACATTAGTTCAAAAGTCCCACTTGAAAAGAAATTGAACTTGAAGTTACCAGCAGGACCACCTCTTGACATTCAAGCAAAATCTTTTTTCCCCACAATCTTTCCAAGACTCCTAGTCTTACTTTGCAATTTGGACTCTCCCAGGAAGATAAATACACTTTGAAAATACTGAATAGGTAATCCCCCTTCCCACTGGATCTATAATATTCGAATCAATCATTCATAGTAATGGATGTGTGTGTGTGTGTGTGTGTGTGTGTGTGTGTGTGTGTAGGGGACAACAACATCCCCATCTCTTACCCCTCTCAGATAATGGCTTTAATTCCCTTCTACTGTTTGTACAGCTGTGGGGGCCATGTGGGCAATTCCTTCTGTTCAAGACATATGCCGTTCAGAACCATCAGCACCAAGTATGTTGCCTAACTTTTCAATTTAGGAGTACTCAAGGGAATTGTTAAGGCTACTGCTACCCCCCAAAAAAATCTCCCCTACCTGGCTAGAAGGCTAGACTCTGAGGTTGCACAGCCTAGGACATTAAAATCCTCTCTTCTCTACCCTAAAAGTTGGGGTTCCAAAATATTGTTCATGAACACATGTCTCAGGCCTTGTAGGCAAATGTGGGTGCTTCTACAGGAATTCTTGATACTCTGCCACTGTTCCATCCGCTGCCATCTTTTGGCTGGGAAAGTCCATTCTCAGGGTTCTCTCTGTTCTCTGCCCTGTAATCAAAAGGGGAAACAAAGACAGGCCATCTGAGCAAAGACATGCAGTTTTCGATGTATTTATGCTGCAAGACTTCATTAGATGTTCCTGAAAGTGGGCATACTGAGAAAGAAATCTCCTTCCCTATTCCCTCAGTATTACAGAAGACATGCACAAGGGGGAAAAAAAAATGATGGAAAGGAGAACAAAAAAACAAAGTGAGCAGGTCTGTAGGTTCACTTTTATAAGCCATCACAAAGAGGTGGCTCCTCCCACTAAAATCCATCCTCTCAGGCATCCTAATCAATCAAATCATCTTGGGGTCAACCCCAGTTACTGAAACCCATTCCTAGAGAGTGTCAAATGGTGGCTCCAAATCAGCCCATTCATCTTCTAATACAAGGTTGCCTTTTGTGCTTTTAAAAAGGTGTCCATGGGCATGACCATATTTAATAGGAGTAGAAGTAAGCTCACAAATTGATGGTGGAGAGAGAACTCACTTATTTAAACCCCCTTGCACCTGTAATAGGAACCATAATATAAATTACCCTTACCACTAAGTGATGCTTCCAGAGCTTTACATTCATACTCCCGAAAACCTGGTGCCTGGATGAAAAGAAAAACAGAAGGTAAAGAGGGGAAAATATGTCTGCTGATGCTGAATGTGACTTCTGTGTCATACCTATGCCATGTCATGTCCCAGGGGATTTAGGGTTTCAAGGGTTTACCTTTCTCTTTCTGATACACACTTTTTACACAGAGGGTAGGAGCCACTGTTGAGAATGACTTTTGTTTCCATTTCAGACTAAGAGTCAGCATGGTAATGTTTTTAAAGACCCTGGGAAGTCCTCAAACCATCTTTAATTGGAGCAGCAGTGGCTAATTCCTGATCTCTCAGCCTTCCTCAAGAATATCAGCACTGGTGATCCATACTTAAAGCCAGGATGTATCATCTTCTGTAATCAGGGATAGTTCGTATCACGATATTTTTAGTTTTCCTAGGTTGACCTTAGGGACAGGACTAGACGATACTTACATCAATGGGCAAAGAGAGAGATGGAAGAGTTGGGAGGAGGTAAGATGATTTGTTGAAGGTCACAGGTTTTGGGAGTATCTGGCATTAATGTATTTTTTTTTTAACATCACAGTACTTTCTCATTTAAGTAAACCATATTTGTTAACCCTCTGATATGAGGTCATTTAATAAATCCTGACTAGTCTAAAGGAGGAGATTCAGTGAATGAGGTTTTGTGAACATTATTGTGAGTAGTATTAAATTAACCCCAAACCAGGAAGATGTCTAGGATTTCAGCTTTCAGCTCTGTCATACATGAGGTAACTCTCAATGAGAATAATTTTCAATTTTTTTGGAATTTGGGGTCTTCTTTAGTGAGATTGCTTTGAATATTGGGTCAAGTTGAGTCTGTTTTCTCCAGAATTGCTAAAACTCACTGAAGATAGTTTACATTTTTCCTTCTCTCCAGGATGCAATTGACAGTAAAAGGGAGTTTTCCCCCACCCACTAAATTTTTCTGATCAGACTAGTTGTTTTACTGTATCTCGTGTTATTATATGGAGAGTATCATGACAGTGTTGTAGAACAAAGTGACTGAGATTGGCCTTTGAAAATCACCATAGTTTTCTAGTTACTAGAAAGTTGGTATACATTAGGGAGATTGTACCCTCATCAAAGACTGCAAGTTTTAGGAGTTCCTGCTAGCCACTGTGTCGAAGGGATTGAAAATATTTTATGCAGTGCAATTGACAATGTAAGGTCTTTCCATTACAAGTCTAAATTAGTTAAGAGTCTAAATCAATGAATTTTAAAATAAGTGATGTTTATTTTTTCTAGTTTTATGTAATAACTCAAACTAAGATTTAAAAAAAAGCCTGTTACCAGACAGCATTTTTTATAAAATAGGCAATTGATAAATGCTTGTTAAATTGAAGTGAAATTGAAAAAAATATTTTGGAAAGAGGTCCTTGGACCTACTTTTATGAATTGTAAAAGAATAATGTGTAATTAATGTGTTCATTGTAAATGCTGCTTCTAAGATGCTTCAAAATAGTTTATTCCTACAAGTACATTAAACAGCCTCTCCTCCCATGTTGGTTATATTAATGATTTGCTGAGTGATCCTTTTTTTCATATATGGAATAAAGATAAATTCAAGCCAAGACCTTGTCTGAATGATAACAAATTTCAACTCAGTGGATTTTCAATGAATGTGGTGATACTTTACCATGAGGGTCTCAGTATAACAGAGCAAGCTTGCAACACAGTTTTATTAAAGCTATTGAGTACCAAGGCTACCCTTCTGAGTGAAATCCTAGAATCTGGAGATGGAAAAAACATCTAATCCAACTTGCTCATTTTACAGGTGAAGAAACTGAGGTACTATGTACAGGCTTTGTTCCTCAGCCTCGGCATAGCATCAACTCATAAATATTTATTGAGCACTAGCTGTGTTTATGTTACGCAGTGTGGGAGGGAAACAGTGAAGTATAAGATATAGTCCCTATAGGACTTGGAATTTACAATCTAATCCTAGTACAAGGAACTTACAATCTTGTGAAGGAATAGGGACTGACTTGGGATTTCATATGCATAGAGATTTCCACCTATCCATGCAGGTCAGCACCTTCTCTACAACTCAAGAGTCTTGGAAAGTTGCCTGGAACACTTGAAGGTTAAGTGATTGGCTATGGTCTACACAGACAGTCTGGGTCAGAGGTGAGACTTGAACACTTTTTTTTCTCTGGCTCTGAAGTCATCTTCTTTGCCACACTACCTGTCATTGAAAGGACAAGTATAAATACTGACAAAATTCAGTGCACTCATTATTCCAACCTAGAACAGGAGTAAGGGATTGGCTATTGACTCCATGCCTCCTTCTCCAGAGGCTGTAGTCCTGCTCTAGTTTAGTTTAAGAATCCATTCTGAACTAGAGACCTTTTTGTTCAGTCATTTTGTAATGGTGTCTGACTCTTTATGACACCATTTGGGGTTTTCTTGGCAAAAATGCTGGAGTAGTTTGCCATTTCCCTCTCCAGCTCATTTTATAGATGAGGAAACTGAGGCAAACAGAGTTAAGTAACCTGCTCAGGGTCACACAGCTAGCAAGTAACTGAGGCCAGATTTAAACTCATAAAGATGGGTCTTCCTGATTTCAGCCCCAACACCCTATTCACTAATGCCATCTAGCTGCTCTTTAAACTAGAGGAGGAGGGGCTTAGTCCAGACCAATCTAGTCCAGGCTAAAGCTTTAGAACTGAAGGAACTTTACACATTATCTTGCCTACTTCCTTTATTTTTTGAGAGGTTGTTACTATTCTTCAGTCACACACAAAGCATAAGGAGTAGAGTTAGAATTCTAGTCCAGCTCTCCTGTCTTCAAAATCCAGTGTTCCTTCCTCTATACCAATGTTCTGTAAAATGAGGGCCTGTCCAGAATGCCTTAGACTAGGGGGGAGAAGGGGGTTAGCTAGGCAGCACAGTGGATAGAGACCAGCCCTGAAGTCAGGAGGGATGTGAGTTCAAATCCGACTTCAGACACTTACTAGCTGTATGACCCTGGGCAAGTGACTTAATCCCTATTACTTCCACAAAAAAAAAAAAGAGGATGTATTGGACCGACCCCCAAAGACTATGCAATCAATCAACTAGAGGACAGGGAGATGACTCATACTCCACCATCTCCATGACACTGGGGGTTTGACTCAGATATAATTATACCTATCCTTACTGCCTAAAATTCCTTCATTCTTCATCATCTCTTTGCTGTAAAAACTCTCAACTCCTCTACTCCCAAGCCAGGTGTAAGGACCGACCTCAGAGCAGTTTTAACTTGACTGCTACCAGGACACCCACCACAGATACACAGGCACCACTGGGAAAATTCCATATACCTCCAACCTCCCAGCATTCCTATCCTGTGCATTCTATCACCTCATGATTGCAGGGAATGCCCCATGATCTCTGACAGTGACTAGTGGGTAATAGCCCTATGCCCCCTCCCCACTACTGAGCACATCTCATTGCATTATCTTTTCCCCCGAATCACTTCTTTTCCAAACTTCCCTATTACTGCTGAGGGCACTACCATACTTTCAGTCAAGGCCGTTACACATCCAGACTGATGACCTCAGTTTCATCTTCAATCCCTCACTCTCACCCCCACATATCTTTGCCATATTTTGTCATGTCTATCTCCACATGGAGGGCAGCTAAGTGGCACAATAGACAGAGTGCAGATCCTGGAGTCAGGAGGACCTGAGTTCAAACATGGCCTCAGACACTTACTAGTCTCTGGACCAGTCATTTAACCCTGTTTACCTCAGTTTCTTCATCTGTAAAATGAGCTGGAGAAGGAAATGGCAAGCCATTCCAGTATCTTTGCCAAGAAAACCCTAAATGGGGTCAGAAGGAGCTCATCACCTCTCACCTGGAAAATTGCAATAGCCTTCTAATTGGTCTCCTATGCCTCAAGTCTTTCCAACCTCCAATCCATCTTTCACACACCTTACAAGGTGATTTTCCTATCAAGTCTGAAAATGTCACTCTCTTAGATCAATAAACTCCAGCGACTTTAGAATCAAATGTTATTTCATCCTTTTGTATAAGCTTAATAATGTACATAATTATCAGTGCAAGTTATACATATATATAATTTACATACAAGTAGATATACACATAGTGGATATGCATGATAAAAAATTTTTATTGATAAGGGCACATGATCAAAAAAACTCTAGAGACCACTGCCCTATGCCACTAGAACAGGCCTTCAATTATCAAAAAAGCACCCCAAGATTTAGGTTTGGTTCTAGGACCAGCTCTAGAATGTGAGTTTCTTAGCATTCAACCAGAAAGTGAGGTTGGCGACTTTGCACAGCCCTTCCTCACTTAAATCCAATTCACTTGAATGTCTTGGCATCACCTCCCTGATATCATGGTGCTCTTCAAGAACAAAGGACAAACAATATTAAGCCTTAATCACTGAATGGGCACTGCCTCAGTCAAACTGAGACCTGTTAAAGATCTTAGCTTGAAAGGCCATCTCCAGTTGTCCTGATCTATATCTGGCCACTGGCCACAGATGGCTTGGAAGGAGAAAGTGAGCATGGTGACTTTGCACAGCCCTCACTCACTTAAATCCAATTCACTCGCATGTCATGGAATCACCTTCCTGATGTCATGGTCTTCTTCGAGAATGAAGGACAAACAGCAAGCAGCAACTTACATTTACACTCCGTATTTTATATACAGAAGATTATGTATATATCACATCTAATATTTGCATATAAAGACACAACTTTTGACTGGCATGGAAAGATATGGTCTGTGATCGGGCACACCTTTTTGGATGGCACATAGAAGGCCCTGCCAGCATGACCAGTAGCCAGCACGGGGAGGGGCTGATAGGGTCCTGAACATCTAAGGCTAAGAGATCATTCCTCCAGTCTCTAAGAGGGGTATTTGGCTAGAATTACATCTATCTGCCACACTCAAATATCTAATTTAGGGGTCAAATTCTAAGTTCAGAATGAAAAGCCATTTCCCTGATTATTCTTAAGGGGAAGGTTAACCCTTAGTTTACTCATAC